CGGGTTAATATTCCCGTACCTGGACACGGAGATAAATGCTCATTATGGGTGTTTAGCGCGGTAACGAGCAAGACTCTTTTCTGGTTAAGGAACCCAAGTCAACTGTTCCCTCGCCACCAGCATGTAACAACAGTAACCATCCGTTGGCAAGGCCGTTCACTGTTCATTTCGAGAGTGGTTTACATACAAGCTGATAAAGATACTAATATGTGTATAAAAAATTCAAAAGTGAGATACCATTAAAATCAGCGACGGATATTCCACCTCCTCGTTCGTCAAGTTCGCACCATACCAACAATTCCGAATCAAAATCAATCGCAAGTGCATTTACAGTGGTTAAATGCTCAATGATGACTTCACCGCCAAAACGATCACCATAAAGAGGCATTTTCTGAGAAAATGATAGAGACGACGATGACACGTACACTTACAAATCGTGCATAAATCTTAATCCCGTGGTGACCGTTACTAATCCCCGTTTGTTAAATATTCTTAATTAATTGCCCCTCCCCCCCTCCCACAAGTCATTTTCTCAGAATAAGCCCCAAATTAATCCCAGTAATTGCCTGTTGGAAATTCCCCGATGAAGAGCTTATTCGAAAACTTCTTACGTAGTGGAAATGCATCTTAAGACTCTAACACAGGAAAATTTCAGTTTACTATCGGAACGAAGAAACCTGTCCTAACAACGAATTCGAATCAAAGATAAGATTGCGGTAAATGGTACTAGAAAGAGGATGCTACAATTATTCACCCCTAGTCCCATGCTAAGGCTCCTAGACATAAAAAAAAAACAAAAAACTGAAGCGCAAGTACAGATATTTCAACAAATCTAAAGTCAACGGGTCAGATTAAATGTTCAAAAAATAAATATTAGGCCAATTCATGTGTAGGGAGCTAAAGCATTTAATTTCACATACATTGATTGTAATGTTATGTCGATTATGATAATTGACAAAAGCCAAGAACTGCCGAATCGGATGAATAACCAAATAATGTGGGTCAATTCCATCCCATGCAATTGTTCGATGAACGCGTCCATCACTGCGAATCATTTCCACTCGACGTTGCTCCGCATTACACCTAAATGTAGCACGAATCTTAACTCCAGCAAAAACAAAATTTACAGTTCATAGTGGCCTCTAATATGTTATAAGTAGATTTTTGAGGTGATCGCCTCTTATTTTACCAGTAAATATTTGAAGTAATCCAATCCACTGCAATATAATTGATTGAGCCGCCTTCGTATAACGTCTCTAAGCCGGAGCCATTAAAAAATGCACTTCGAAGCAGCGAGCGTGCCGAATGATTGCGTGCATCGGAAGACCAAAAAACTCGTTGCCTGCTCTAAAAAAAGACAGTTTTTAGATAAAAACAAGCAATGAGCATGAAAGCAAAATGGTTCTTGAATTGCACTTCATGTCCAACAAAAAAAAAAAA